TCAGCAGGTTCCAAGAAATCTGGAACTGGAAGCACCTCATACTGAGAAGAAGAACCCAGATCTCTCAGGGATTCCATAGTTATACACTCTACATCAGAGACGTCTGGAGAACACTCTGAAGGTTCCAAACACCTTGGTCGCTTGCGGGACTTCCCAGCTTCCTGAATGCCCAGAGCGACTGCTTGTGAAATATACTGCATTATGTCAGGCGCAGGTTGGATGGAGGGCTGCCTTTGAGATGGGCCTGCAGCCACAGATAGGCAAGAAAAACAGAGACATTTCCCCTCCAGGGCTCTGTTATCACAGGATTCACATTGTGTCCTTTTGGGCGACTTCCCTTTGGACGACACTGAAGCTCTAGTTCCCTTAGAACTGCCGAAATAGGTACAGAACAGTGTACCAGTGCTCCGCGCCCTTTTAAATACCAGATAAAACAAACCAGAAAAAAATGGCTTACCTATAAGACTTAGGTTGTGACCTTTCGGGATGTGGGGAAGAATCAGAATCAGAGGAATTTGAGACTTCCGTACCCATCTGCAGAGCCAAATTCAAGAAAGAATCTCAAATTGAAATACAGAACAAATTGAAGGATACCACTTTAAAAAATTAAAGACATTTAACTTAATGAAAAGCAGACAAAATGTAAATCCAGCAGGAGATAGGAGGAAGCAATGCTGCATTCGCCAGGAGTATAAACCATGGGGCTGTTAAATAGGCGTCTGACGTCACACACAGAGCACCTGTGTGAAACAGATGAACGAGCCATTCATGTGAACAAACGAATGTTCACCAGAATTCATGCGAACAGCTAAAATACATGCGAATAGCATGTGTATTCGAAAAAACTAACGCCAAGTTGAAAATGAAATAAACCACAGGGACTTACCCCTTCAGAAGGACGTCAGAAGCAGGGAGAAGTCCAGACCAGCAAGGTACACGTCAAGGTCAATATTCACCTGCCCACTGCTACCCCTAGGGTCACTGCAGAATTAGGGAACCAGGCATAACAGCTTCCTACCCCTTGGGTTACAGCAAGTACCAGACCCCCGGTCACTAAAGGTGTACTCTCCAGGTGTACCTTTGCACAGGGCCGTGTAACTGGAGACTTCCCAAGAGAGAGAGAGGCTGAACTCCCAAGGGGCCAGGGGAACCAATCCCCAGGTAAGCCATAAAAGAAAAATAATAGTTCCAAGGAAAAATAACATGTCCTATAGGGATAGGACAGGAACAAAAAGACTGAGGGAAGAGGGGTTAGGAGGAGGTACTTATACATTTATTTTAATTAGTTCCTGTCTAATTAGGTATAGGGAGGAGCTACCCATTGTTGTGCTGCCATGGATATGGCCAGGAAATAAGTATATATATATATATATATATATATATATACACACACATATATACAGTCAGGTCCATAAATATTGGAACATCGACACAATTCTAATCTTTTTGGCTCTATATACCACCACAATGGATTTGAAATGAAATGAACAATATGTGCTTTAACTGCAGACTTTCAGCTTCAATTTGAGGGTATTTACATCCAAATCAGGTGAACGGTGTAGGAATTACAAAAGTTTGTATATGTGCCTCCCACTTTTCAAGGGACCAAAAGTAATGGGACAATTGGCTGCTCAGCTGTTCCATGGCCAGGTTTGTGTCATTCCCTCATTATCCCATTTACAAGGAGCAGATAAAAGGTCCAGAGTTCATTTCAAGTGTGCTATTTGCATTTGGAATCTGTTGCTGTCAACTCTCAATATGAGATACAAAGAGCTGTCACTATCAGTGAAGCAAGCCATCATTAGGCTGAAAAAACAAAACAAACCCATCAGAAAGATAGCAAAAACATTAGGTGTGGCCAAATCAACTGTTTGGAACATCCTTAAAAAGAAAGAACACACCGGTGAGCTCAGCAAGACCCACACGTATCAAAAATAAAAAAAATTGCTGTTTAGACAAAAATGACAGATTCTCATGGTACAAATTAGATAAAATAGTAGCACTTCCAATTGGCATTTGTCATCTCTCTCACCTTTACCAAACCTACCCCTTCCGCTATAACGATAAGAGTATCCACTGTCAGAACGCATCTTCCAATTGAACTCCTCAAAACCTATGACCTCAACAACCTGCCACTATTACATCAAGCACACACTGACTTACAGAAATGGCACCCCATGTCCATCTCAAGGATAGGACGAATAGCCTCCTACCCCAGTTCCTCCACTTGTTCCAAGCCCTCCCTATTCTTATTTCTAAGCAGGATTTTAAAACGCTTCAGACTAAGGCAATTTTATCTAGGCAGGCAAGAAACCGAATTAAAAGATCAACAATGTAAACCACAAACAGAGCAGGAGGCCTAGGCTAGCCCAACTTCTACCAGTACTTTCAGGCCGCCAAATTGGCGCATAAGCGGGCATGAAATTGTGGGTAGATCTGGAACACAATATTCAGAAAGATTTCTTGTCCCTACTCCTCTGGCTTCCCAACAGAGATTGACCAGACACCCCTGCCCCCGCCCCCTCACTCACCAATCCCTGCTTTAACCACATCATTCCAAATCTGGGATAGAGCAACCTTAAGATATACTAGTATTTTTAACTAGTGAATGTCCCCTCTCCACTCACCCAGGTTTTTGGGGTGAAATAAACAATTCACCCCAGGCATGACACCCCAAAACTTTGCACACTTCGAAGACAACCAGCTACAGAGACTTCCCCACTTACTTTTCCAACAACTCCTATCATTTGCAGACCTACCATGAAAAATACCACTCAACACTTTTGACCATTTTTGATACCTACAACTACGCAGCTTCTTCAGTGACCCAAACACTGCGGCCATAGCCATGACCAATCTTACACACTTCAAAAAGGCATGTATACACGCTCCTATCCAAAAAGGACAAATTTCCACCATCTACTGCCCCTTGAACTCATCCTCCCCGGCAGATGCCCTCTTATAGGTCTGCCTTGGAAAGAGACATAGGTCCAGAGAAGACCCTTCAGATTGGATGGACATTTGGGAGGCCACAGCATCACTCACCATCTGCGTAAATCACAAAGAAATAAGACAATGGTACGTTGATACCTCACCCCCCACAGGCTGAGGCAGATGGGGAGCTAGGACTCATATGTCTTCTGGAAGAGATGTGGAATAAAGGGCACATATTTTCACTTATGGTTGGAATGCCCATTGATCTCCTAAGTATGGGTCAGCAGTTCTAATCTCACTTCCAGAATCCTCCAAGCAGACAAAGCAATGGACCCCTGGATATGGTTACTCTCAAAACCTCATGACACCCTTACCAGAGCACAGAACAAACTCTTGGCAAAAATTGCCCTTGATTGCAGAACAATGGGGTAACCATAATAAACCCTCCCTCGCAGTAGTAATCCAAAAAGCAGAAGACACTATGGCAATGGACAAATTGGGTGACACGCTCCATGATACGACAAAACACTTCTACAAAATCTGGGACCCCTGGCTCCTGGAACACCAGAGCCATACCCGAGGAGACAAAGGTGGGGGCATGCGGTCACCCACACAGATACATCCATCAAACCCTCTTCCTTCTGTCCCCCAACCCCGTCTCATCTTTTCCCCCTAAAACCAACAAATTCTTCTCAACCCCCTCCCCGTCCCAGATTTATTCCCCCCTCTTTCTCCTCCCCCCCATCCTCTTTCTGCATACACCCATTTCAATACTAAACAGGATACCCACATGGTGACATATTAAACAACCGTATCTCGAACCAGAGAGCAAACCTAGGAAACGTATGTTTACATCCCCTGTACTCGCTAGCCATCCAGAACCCGCCACTCCACTATATTATTATTCTGCAATAGGCTATAATGCACCACCCGAAATCAGTGTCGCTGCACAATGATATAACTTTAATTTTTCATGCAGCCCCAATAGAGCCTTCACTTTCCTCTGCAATATTCCGGCTAAAACATTTAGAATGTTTTAGTTTGAGTTTTTATTTTTTGTTCATACTTTTACATAGATATTACCTTCACGCACAAAACAGCTTAAAGATCCCAACTTACTTACAACAAGCCTTATCTAATCTTACCTTCATATACAACGTACTTATACTTAAAGGACCACTATAGTGCCAGGAAAACATACTCGTTTTCCTGGCACTATAGTGACCTGAGGGTGCCCCCGCCCTCAGGGTCCCCCTACCGCCCGGCTCTGGAAGGGGGTAAAAACTTAAATTTTTCCAGCGCTGGGCGGGGAGCTCTCCTCCTCCTGGGCTGAATGCGCACGCACGGAAAGAGCTGCGTGCGCATTCAGTAAGTCGCATAGGAAAGCATTTACAATGCTTTCCTATGGACGCTGGCGTGCTCTCACTCTGAAAATCACAGTGAGAATCACGCAAGCGCCTCTAGCGGCTGTCAATGAGACAGCCGCTAGAGGCTTTGGGGGAAGGCTTAACCCATTCATAAACATAGCAGTTTCTCTGAAACTGCTATGTTTATAAAAAAAAAAATGGGTTAACCCTAGCTGGACCTGGCACCCAGACCACTTCATTAAGTTGAAGTGGTCTGGGTGCCTAGAGTGGTCCTTTAAACCTTTTACCTGTTACAATAGCAAAGTTTGATGCTTATGTATTTTGGATCAAATTGCAATGTTTAGCCCTTCTATACATACACGTCAATGTATTAAATGTGCACCTATTTTACAACTTGTAACTCTTAAAATTGAAAATAAAGAATTATAAATAAAAAAAAAAAAGATATATAAAAATAAGTTTTGTCTTTAAAGGGTTTAACATGCATTTTCAGAGATATTAGCAGTAAAATGTTTAGGACTGTTTGCTTATTTGTACTGCTTTTGAATTTGTTACTTTAGAAGGTTGTAGGGCATATATAATTGTTAGGTATGTTTAGTGAGGAAACGTTACAAAAGTTTTTTTTGGTATCTTATCAAAAACCATAATTTCTATTCCATTGCAATATTAACTACACACGTTCTGTGTGTTATGTACAAAGTCAGTATTTTTAATAAATAAACAGTTATATTTTAATGTCTTCTGGTGATGTATGTACAATCAGAGAATACAGGAAATTCTCTGCTTCTTCTTTAGAATATATCTTCCTTCACACAGTGTGTCACACCCGCCTCCCTAATGTCATTGTTCAAGTATCAGAACAAGAGTTTTTCCTTTAAAAAAAAAAATAATTTATGATGGTTGTAGGTCACAAATCTAAGGTCTCTTCCTCAACAGTGCGCTTCTCTTGTTCCACATACTTCTCCTGAAATGCCAATGTTCTGTAGCAGTTATGTTAAGGAATTAATACATTTGTGGCATAAAAGGAAGTTATACAGATAGTGAGAGAATGATAAATAAGTACACAATGATAAGGGAAATTGGGAAAACTTCATTAGGATACGAAGTAAAGTGGAAGTCCGCTCCCACAGCTACAGACATGAGGTTCCCCATAGATCTTTGCTGGTCCCCATAACAAAAGCCGCTAGCTTTATCCACAGTAGATAGGACTTTCTGCAAGCTTTGCTCATCCTGAAAAAGAAAGAATATAAAAACCTCAATTACCTTTGCAAACATTAATTTCTACCTCTAAATTTAACTATGCTCTGCCTTCTTTAACAGTGTGCTTAATTAAGAATTATATTTGTTCAGATCCAAAATTGTCCGCCTCCATTCCAAACACCTAACCTTGATGCTGAGTGGTGTGAAGGTCACTAGTCCATAATCCTCAATGACCTCAGCCAGCTTTTCATGAAGTCGACGGTGGCGTCTAAAGAAGGGGTCAGACGTCAGATGATCCACCAGATAGGAAAGGTCCATAACATCGGTATAGTAGTCCAGGTTAAAGGCTGCAGAAGGAAGAGGACTGTTATCCCGTACAATGGCATTAATGTAATTATGTTTCTCCTCTGCCTTAAAGGAACACTATAGCGTTAGGAATATAAATCTGTATTCCTATGCTCTAGTGTCCATGTCTAGAGAGGTATTGGGTCCATCTCATACTGACAGCCACCAGAGGTGGACTTAGCCCTGAAATATAAACATTTCTCAAAAACTCCAATGTTTTACATTGCAGGGTTAAGAGGACAGGGACACTGCACCCAGATTACTTCACGGAGATGAAGTGATTTGGGTGATTATAGTGTTCATTTAAAGTTGGCAAAAAACAAACAAACCTTACACCTGCTATACATTTCAGCCCTTCAAATATATTTCATATTTTCTACCCTCATACACACTGGAGCAGAAGAGTC